GATGTCACGCAGAGGGGTTCAAAAGACACTCAGGACAGGGATCGAGTAAGAGTGCACAAAAAGTGGGGGGGAGGGTAAAGAGTGCAATGAGGCGATCAGGTGACAAAAAGGTTGTGTCAAGAGGGAAACCACCTTTGTCGGTTTTAAGTGCTTGACATTGAACATCAATGGTTTGAGGTCGCAGAGAAAGTGTGAGTGGTTTAGGGAGTTTTTGGAGCGTCATGGTGTTGACGTGGTGTTCTTGCAGGAGCATAATTATAGACATGGTTATGAGTTGAAGGTGGAGGGATATAAGGTGTATGTTGAACATGCGGTCAGATTGAAAGGCGGTGTGGCTATATTGGTAAAGGAAACTAGCCCGTTGGTTGTCAGGCATTGTGAAGGGGGGGAGGGGAGGGTGATACGTGTGGATGGATTATGGGTCAGGTACAGATACGTTGGTGTGTGTGTATGGACCGGCAGAGGGAGACGTACGGGTTAAGAATAAATTTGTGAGGGACGTGTTGGTTTACTACTTGCGTGGATTGCAGGGGTAGCCGTGATAGGAGGTGATTGGAACTGTGTGATAAGGCGTAAGGATGTGGAACCGAGGGGGGCGGGGCATTGTATGGGAACATTGGGAGAATTGTTATCAGGGGTGGGTTTAAATCGATATCTGTGGGGGGGGGGGAGAGGTAGAGCCATACATTTATTAGGCGTGGGTATGCTGCTAGGCTCGATCGTTTTGTACGTCCCCAGAAGGTAGTAATACATAGGGTGAGGGTGTTGGATGTGGTATTTTCTGATCATAGGGGTGTTATGGTGGATTTGGGTTGGGAGGGGTTGCCACGAAGGGGTAGGGGGTATGGAAGTTAAATGTAAAGTTGCTGCATGAAGAAGAATATAGACAGTCATTTAAACAGTTTTGGGAGGGGTTGGAGGCAGAAGCGCCTGGGAATGGTGATCTGGTTAGATGGTGGGACTCGGTGGGAAATCAGGTATTAAGGATTTTATGTACGTAATGGGAGGGAATATAATAGGTTAAAGTATGGGTTTCAATCTTATCTTGAGGGGCAGTTGAGGGCTTGCTACGAACGAGGGAGGGTTAGTTACCCGGTGGGAGATATTGAGGGATTAAAGGAGAGCATAGGGATTTGCAAAATGAAAGATTTGATGGTGCACACGCGTTTTGGCGGGTTGGGAGGTGTTATGGGGTGATAGGCCATCGGCGTGTGTATTGAGAGGAACAGCGTAAGAGGAGAGCGGCGACGGAGATGATGGGATTAACTGTTCATGTGGGGATGGGAGGGTATAGGGAAGGGCAGGTATTGATGTCGACTGAAGGTATGAGTGGATATCTTGATGTATGGTTTAGGTCATATGCACAACATGTGGGTATACGAGATGATGCTTTAAGGGAATGGGTGGTTTATGTGCAATGCGAGCTTGATGGTAGAGATAGGAGACTTTGGAAGGACAGATTAACGGAAGTGGATAATTTGGCAGCTATAGCAGGTGCAAGTTTAGTGTAAGGCACCGGGTGTAGACGGTGTTGCCTAATGATTTTTTATTGTTAATGAATTGGGAAGTATTGAGGAGATTTTTAGTCAGATTGTTCAATGTAATGAAGGAAGATAGGGGCAATGGGTGAGCAGCAAAGGACTGCTGTTGTTGTATTAGTGCCGAAGGTGTGGACAGACCACGTAGAAGATTACCGTGCAAATCGCTTATGTGCGGTGATTATAAGTTATTTGCAAGGTATTAGGGAACAGAATCAAACAGGTTTTAGGTAAAGTAATTGATATAGGACAATATGGCATACCGGTTAGATCAATGTATGAAGGGCATGGAGTTTAATTAGGAGTTTTTATAGAGCATAGGGGGGAGGGGGGAGGGGGTGTTTTGCTCTGGATTGGAGAGCTGCTTATGATAGCGTAGAAAGGGACCATTATGGAGTTTATGCGTTGGTTGGGTTTCGGGAGGGAAATTGTTTCTTGGGCAAAAACTTTGTATCTGGTGCAGTTATGAGAATTCAGGTTAAGGACGACTAGGTGATAGCATACAGATGGGAAGGGGTTTGCGACAGGATGTCCTCTGTCGCAAATTTTGGGTTGCATGTCTTCAGGAACCCTTTTATAGGGCAGTTAGGTGGAGTATGGCGAGAGCGAGGGTTGGTTTTGCACGAGAAGGGAAGCGGTATAGTGGGTTACGTGGATGATACGACTGTCTTGGTGAGGGATGTGAGGGATTTACATAAGGTAGGAAGGGTGATAGACGTTTTGGTGAGGCTACGGGATGAAAATTAATTAGTAAAGTCCAGTATTTGGATCTATGGGATAGTGTACATAATGGTGAGACTGTTGAGGGTGGATGGCGTGTGGTAGACAGCTGTTGAGATGTGGGATAGTGTACATGCGGAATGATAGGGATTGCACAAGAGGCAAATCGAGGCGCACGTGGATGGAGTTTTGAAAAGATTGGGAGGTTGAGGGCAGAGCAATTATCGTTGCATCAAAGGGTTATAGTCACGAAATGTCCTGTTGTATAGCAAGTTATGGCACGTGGTGGCAATATATCCGTTACGACGGTGTGAGGTTGCAACGGTTGCAACTGCGAGTATTCAGATTTATATGGGATCGGGTATGTGACTGGCTAAAGTAGAGGGGTGGTGTCGCTTTCCCGTTAGCCAGGAGGGGGCTGGGGCTTATACCTCTTGAGAAACGTATGTTGAGTGTGTTTCTGAAAAGGGGTTTGTGGAGGGAGGGGGGTGAGGGGGGGAGGCCTTGAAAAAGCTGCGCATGGATATGCAACGGTGGTGGAGGGTAGGGATTTAATGTTTGGGGAGGCTATGTTGCGAGTTTTACTGAAGGTAAGGGATCCGAAACAGCTTAAATTGAAGGCATTGAGAGGGTGGGGGTGGGTCTGTGGTGGCGTGCAGTTGAGGTGGGCATACCCTATGTATGCATGGGTTCTGTAAGGAAATGTCTTCAACAACTCGTGTAAAACCAAGTGTCAGGGAGGTTATGTTTAGGTTTTTACATGGGATTTTGCCGTCTGGGGGTTGTGTTATTTAATAGGAATTAAGGGAGGGTGGGGAGTGGCAAAGCGTGTGGAATGTCGGAAACCATATTTCACGCTGTGTACTTTTGTACTTTGTTTAGAAAGATGTGAGGGTCTGGCTAAGTAGGGTAGTTTAGGTTAGTGGGTGGGAAGGGTTACAGGTGTTTGCGGGTAGTTAAGTTTAGATATAGGTGGGTGGAGTCAGCAGGTGGTGAATCGGTTGCGTATGTGGTCACTGATTTTATTTATATATCTTGTGGCAATGAGGGAGGTGGGAGTCGAGGAAAGGATAAGAGTGTTAGGGGCCACGATGTATAGAACAAAGTGCCGCAATAGGGATCTTTATGGGGGAAGATGGGAGACAGCATTTACTGAAGGTTACGTAGATCAGGTTGAAGGATTTAAGAGATTTTAAGTGTCAAGTAAGGGTTGCGGCGCGGCTAGTTTTCTTGAGTATGGACTGTGTATGGATGTTAGCGTGTGTGGTATGTTTGGTAATATAATAAATAAGCTTCTTTTGTGATGTGAGTTTGGTCGGGGTAGTTGTGCAAGATATGTTTTTCACATTGTTTTTCAGAAGGTATTGAATATAATATGTAAGTAGTGTTGTTGCACTACATTGTGTGTATGTGTGAGAGGGTACATCTCACAGTATTTGTGTGTTTGAAGGTTTGAGGTGACACAAGGCATGATCTAAGTATGTTTGGTTTTTCTTTTTGTCCTCAAATGTGTTATACAAAGATAATACTGTGGTGTATGTGATGTGTAGGTTTATAGGTATTCAACATGCTTGTTGTATGTTCCCTTTTCGATAATTTGTTTTAATTGTCATTTCAATGTACTTTGTATAGTATTATACAATGGTATTGTTCTTTGCCATATGAAGTGGTTTTTTTTTTAGGTTATGTTATGTTCTAGGTTTTTGTATGTTAAGATGTACTTAGACTGTCAGCACCCTGATATAGGTTTTTTCATGCTATGTTCTTAACGTAAGTTTTGGCTGTATGGTATACAGATATATCTAGCCAGTTTATAGACGCTTTCCTTTTGTGTCTGAGATTTTTGTATACGGTTTTATTGTAACTGTAATGAGTCGGTTTTAAGCTGTTTTCTTGGTATGTTTATTTGTATTTGTATATGGGATAAGTATGTAGATGTTCTAGTAGGATTATGATGTTAGAGATCCATACTGTTTCCTTTTATTTTTATTTTTATGTATACTGTATTGGTTATAAATAAAATATAAAAAAAAAAAATTACTGATTGGCTTTCTATATATTAAGAATTCGACTTTGTTGTATTTTTAAACAATTAAATATGTAGTAACTACATAGTTATTTTGTCCAATCTCACCAGAAATTTTAGTTCAATTAATGTTCGTAAAATAAATATAAAATATTTTTTATTTTTTTTCTAATATTGTCGTCGTTATGGCAACATTATCAAAATATATCTCAGTACAACTCTTGTTACCTAGTTTGTTATAATCAGGGGAGCGCTAAATTAGCAGGGGAAATAAAGTCTATGGAGAAAGGGAGTCAATTGGATTTAATCCAAGGAAGAGGTGGTTAGGTCTATATTTTGGATCAAGAGCCTTCATTCGCACCCAGGAAGGTCCCATGAAGTGTATTGGGGTTAAAGCCGTTACATTATACTACACGACGTTCATGAATATTGTATATCATCTGTTTCACCGTCTATCATGAATCCTTGACTCCTTAAGTTGGTTATTACAGTATATATACACTGAAAGATATGTACAGCAGTTGTTATGGAGTTTACATTGTGCGTGGAGCCAGAAATACTCTCTGCTTTACTGGTGATTTGATACCGGTGTCGAACTATCACGAACATCTTACTTGAACATAATCTTTATATTCTGAATCTTTACAATAATGACCCGCTGATCTTGATAGTTTTCACCACTATATGTATATAAACGATTTATACAGCCTTCAGTGTATATATACTACTGCCTTTGGTGCCTGAACATAGAGGAATATCGCACGCCTTAATGTACAATGTTCGAGGATACACCAGTACTGAAGTTATGAGACCGCTCGAGTACTGTGGCAGTTGATCTTAAGAGCGTCAGTCAGTCAGTCAGTCAGTCAGTTGGTGTTAACATTACTCAGTGACTCATCATTATCCACTGCACCTCTGTAAGTTATACTAGAAGTGGATAAAGCAGTTATCTTAGAATTATGTTATTCATATTAGGTTGAACGTGTTTTAGTTATTTAGGTTAATGTGTCGTCTATAAGACAACACTGACTATAACATCCCATAACGCAGTAAGTGCAATTATATGTAAAGGTAGAAGGAACTTGTGGTCTAGTGAAGGTGGTAGGATTCAGTAAGTTTATTCAGGTATACACAAATAGTTACATAATTATCATACATAGCAGCATGTATGTAGAGAACCCATGATAACCCAAAAGGCTCTGCACGTATGCTATGTATGATAATTATGTAACTATTTGTGTACACCTGAATAAACTTACTTAATCCTACCACCTTCACTAGACCACAGGTTCCTGTGGACGAGTGTTCAACTTATCCTGAATGTAAATATTTTATCTCGATAACTACATTGGATCCTAGCGAAACAACTTTTCTGGCATAGACTAGGGAATTACTTGTCAAACTTCGTAGTTTAGTTAGTTTAATATGTTTATTATGCACCCCATACCCATCCTGTGGGCGGTAGTCAAAAGATTACAGAGGTACATAATTGGTCCAGGGACTGGACTCCAAAGTTTTGATAGCTGAGCAAGTTACAGAGGTAATGAACTCACAATTTACAAAGGTAATGAACTCACAATTTACAAAGGTAATGAACTCCAGGTAAGTCTGGTCACAATCATGACAAGTTACAAAGGTATTTACAGATTACAGAGGTACGTAATGGGTCCAGGGACTGGGCCCCCAAAATTTTGATCAAACTTCGTAGGTAATTGTGAAACTTCATTCAGTTTAGGTACCTCAAGTGCGTGCTCGTGGCTCAATGGGTAGCGGCCTTGACTCACTGAGGAACTGGTTAGATCTCCGGACGAGTTGAAACGTCATGAATATTTTCTTACACTTAATGTTTAGGTGTACAGGGACATTAAGTAGGTACCGGGGGTTAGCAGACTGCGGGTTGCATCCTGGGGAAGAGGACTAATGGAAACCAGGCAGTATCCGCCAAAAAGGGTAACTTTTAATCCAACTGTCTTCCAAATCTCAACGTTGATGTAACCTGGAGTTTACCTGGAGAGAGTTCCGGGGGTCAACGCCCCCGCGGCCCGGTCTGTGACCGGGTGGATCAGAGCCTGATCAACCAGGCTGTTACTGCTGGGCTGCACGCAAACCAACGTACGAGCCACAGCCCGGCTGATCAGGAACCGACTTTAGGTGCTTGTCCAGTGCCAGCTTGAAGACTGCCAGGGGTCTGTTGGTAGTCCCCATTATGTATGCTGGGAGGCAGTTGAACAGTCTCGGGCCCCTGACACTTATTGTATGGTCTCTTAACGTGCTAGTGACGCCCCTGCTTTTCATTAGTGGGATGTTGCATCGTCTGCCAAGTCTTTTGCTTTCGTAGTGAGTGATTTTCGTGTGCAAGTTCGGTACTAGTCCCTCTAGGATTTTCCAGGTGTATATAATCGTGTATCTATCCCACCTGCGTTCCAGGGAATACAGGTTTAGGAACCTCAAGCGCTCCCAATAATTGAGGTGTTTTATCTCCGTTATGCGCGCCGTGAAGGTTCTCTGTACATTTTCTAGGTCAGCAATTTCACCTGCCTTGAAAGGTGCTGTTAGTGTGCAGCAATATTCCAGCCTAGATAGAACAAGTGACCTGAAGAGCGTCATCATGGGCTTGGCAGCCCTCGTTTTGAAGGTTCTCATTATCCATCCTATCATTTTTCTAGCAGATGCGATTGATACAATGTTATGGTCCTTGAAGGTGAGATCCTCCGACATGATCACTCCCAGGTCTTTGACGTTGGTGTTTCGCTCTATTTTGTGGCCAGAATTTGTTTTGTACTCTGAAGATTTAATTTCCTCGTGTTTACCATATCTGAGTAATTGAAATTTCTCATCGTTGAACTTCATATTGTTTTCTGCAGCCCACTGAAAGATTTGGTTGATGTCCGCCTGGAGCCTTGCAGTGTCTGCGATGGAAGACAGTCATGCAGATTCGGGTGTCAACTGCAAAGGAACACACGGTGCTGTGGCTGACATCCTTGTCTGTCAGATATGAGGATGAGGAACAAGATGGGAGCGAGTACTGTGCCTTGTGGAACAGAGCTTTTCACCGTGCCTGCCTCGGACTTGACTCTGTTGACTACTACTGTGTTCTGTTAGTGAGGAAATTATAGATCCATCGACCGACTTTTCCTGTTATTCCGTTAGCACGCATTTTGTGCGCTATTACGCCATGGTCACACTTGTCGAAGGCTTTTGCAAAGTCTGTATATATTACATCTGCATTCTTTTTGTCTTCTAGTGCATCTAGGACCTTGTCGTAGTGATCCAATAGTTGAGACAGACAGGAGCGACCTGTTCTAAACCCATGTTGCCCTGGGTTGTGTAACTGATGGGTTTCTAGATGGGTGGTAATCTTGCTTCATAGGACTCTTTCAAAGATTTTTATGATATGGGATGTTAGTGCTATCGGTCTGTAGTTCTTTGCTGTTGCTTTACTGCCCCCTTTGTTGAGTGGGGCTATGTCTGTTGTTTTTAGTAACTGTGGGACGACCCCCGTGTCCATGCTCCCTCTCCATAGGATGGTAAGGCTCGTGATGGGGGGCTTCTTGCAGTTCTTGATGAACACGGAGTTCCATGAGTCTGGCCCTGGGGCAGAGTGCATGGGCATGTCATTTATCGCCTGTTCGAAGTCATTTGGCGTCAGGATAACATCAGATAGGCTTGTGTTAACCAAATTCTGTGGCTCTCTCATAAATTCATTTTGATCTTCGACTCTCAGTCTGGTTAGTGGCTTGCTAAAAACTGGGTCATATTGGGACTTGAGTAGCTCACTCATTTCCTTGCCGTCATCTGTGTAGGACCCATCTTATTTAAGTAAGGGCCCAATACTGGACGTTGTGCTCGACTTTGATTTGGCATAGGAGAAGAAATACTTTGGGTTTCTTTAGATTTCATTTATGGCTTTTAGTTCTTCCCGCGATTCCTGACTCCTATAAGATTCCTTTAGCTTAAGTTCGATGTTTGCTATTTCTGACCAGTGTCTCCCTACGCATTTCAGATAGATTGACCTCTTTTAGCCGCTCTGTTATTCTTTTCCGTCGCCTGTAAAGAGAGCGCCTGTCTTTCTATTTTACATCTACTCCTCCTTTTTCTTAGGAATAAGTCTTGTGCATACATCGAGTGCCACCAAGTTAATCTGTTCTAGGCACAAGTTGGGGTCTGTGTTGCTTAGTATATCTTCCCAGCTTATATCGGTTAGGACTTGGTTTACTTGGTCCCACTTTGTTTTTGTTATTGAAGTTGAATTTGGTGAATGCTCCCTCGTGACTAATCTCATTTTGTCGGTCTGGGGCTCCGTGCATACATGTCTGAACCTCAATTATGTTGTGATCTGAGTATATTGTTTTTGATATGGTGACATTTCTTATCAGATCATCATTGTTAGTGAAGTTGGGGTCTAGTGTATTCTCCATTCTAGTAGGCTCTATTATTTACTGGTTTAAATTGAATTTTGTGCAGAGATTTAAAAGCTCGTGTGAGTGAGTTTTCATCAGAGCTGCCTCCTGGTGTTATTACTGCAACATTTGCTATATTCCTCCATTTTAGGTGCCTTAAGTTGAAATCCCCCAGGAGCAAGATGTTGGGTGCAGGAGCTGGTAGATTTTCCAGACAGTGGTCAATTTTTAACAGCTGTTCCTGGAATTGCTGGGATGTTGCATCCGGAGGCTTGTAGACTACCACAATGACTAGGTTTTGGTTCTCGACCTTGACTGCTAAAACTTCCACTACATCATTTGAGGCATTAAGCAGTTCTGTGCAAACAAGTGACTGCAATGTACAAGCCAAACCCCCCCCTCCCTTTTGCCTGTTCACTCTGTCACATCTGTAGAGGTTGTAATCTGGGATCCATATTTCGTTGTCCAAGTGATCCTTTATGTAACTATGGCAGTCTTGAAACGTTTGGCATGTGCAAGTGCCCCAAGGCAACGTAGACCCCATTCCCAGAATCTTGAAGTGACTTCACCTTAAAACCCTCTGGCCTAGCTTCAAATTCGACGACAGCGGAGTAATAGTAATGTGGCAAATGTAGTTGACAATCTTGTGTAGTTTATTCCCATTAAATCGCAGTCTTCCTCTCCTGGACGCTCCCGCTTGTCTACATGACATAACTGTAAGAACTATTGTTAATGCTAGCTATCAATTTTACATTAAATTGTTGCGTTCATTAATTAAGGTAACGGAACGCTGTCATATAGAACTAGTTATAACTTAAGAATGAAAGATTTTTTAAGTCATATTGGTTAGAAATTACTCTGGTGGGAAGGTGTCGAGTAACATCTCGGCTCAATGGAGTCTCTGATAAGACCTTAGTTAACACACAGACGTATGCCCTGCATAATAAAGGGCTTTCTGTAATGAATGTCAGTAATACTATTTCTGAATAAACTGTACTTTGTAGAAAGTTATTACAGATTTCTACGACGGTGTATATTAGATTAACTCTAACCTACTGTTGCGATCCCCTCATGGGAGGTTCCTTGATGCTGGTGAGGGGCTCTTGATCTAGGGAATTGTATCTGCTTCAATTCCCTGAATGCCTCTACAGGCTCTATATAATTCCTAGTTCAGCGCTTCCCCATGACACTACTACGCCAGTTTGAGATGGCGTTAAACTTTCCTGTGAGGAATATTTGTAAAAATTATTGGATCTTGTATTAGAATAGGATTAATTAATGCTGTCCTATTTTTTCTTCAGCATTGTTTAAATATCATAATAAAATTTTCGTTGTATACCCTTATGTTAAAGTAATTAAGCATTCGTAGTGGGTACGTGCCAGAAGACACAAAAATGAAATATTGCAATAGGCATATTGACTAGTCTCGTCCACTCTTGTACCCATTTAACTATTCTTAGTTTCCCAGACAGCTTGGTGCATCTTGAGGCGGTTTCATCTGCAACTCGGAACCTTGGAATGGTGATACCTTACATGTGATAGGTGTGGAAAATTTTGAATTTTTCCAAATTCAGCACGTGTAAATTTAAATATAATTGTGTATTTAAAATGTCGATTTGACCCTTCGCGCAATTGTGAAGGAGGGTGCGCAGCGGCCGTGGAGTGATACAATAGAGGATGCCATAGTGAAACTGAATGTGAGCCCTGGTCTGTTAATTGTAATGTAATCGGACATTATTGAAGTTCAGTTTATGTATATCGAACTCTGGCTGTAATTTAGAAATTGCAGTCACGTTCCCACTGGAGAATTGGGATAGTGGGGGGGGGACCCTTACAATTTGACTAAAAGGACAAAAATAGGCGACTCCAATTCTTCCAGCAGCACACCTTAAAGTGATGCTAACCCATAATGTATAGTAGTTTTTGCATTGGCCATCATAAACTCTAGCAATTAGGGTAGCATTAGGGTGTTACACATAAATTGATCCATTAATTAAATGGAAAGTGATAATACGAATTTCTTTTCTAATAACACCATTGTATTGTGTATTGTACTAAGTTATATTTTGTGTACCCAGCAAGTAATACAAAATATAGTTCACACAATTTTAATTTTTGTGAGTGGTACAATAGTGGGCATCAAGGGAGACAGTTCTATGGCCTGCTGTGACTGTCCTACTTACATCGCCCAGATTACTTGCACATAATAACTCGGGTAATACCCTGTAAACCTCGTGCAGGTAATTCTCTTAATAATTAACAATAAGCTCAAATAGGCAGACCTTCGCTCTTATTTCTACCCAAAAGTACAGCAGAAGCATAGTTTGAAGTTACCTAGAATGATACTTGGTCTATAATCAGTTATCTCTGCAAATGTTCACGCTAGTTGGAAATGTGCCCTCAAACGTTGCGATAAGCTTTAATGTTGTGGTAAAGCTTGTGGGACAGTTGTTAGTTTCCAAGTTTACCTGGAGAGGGTTTCGGGGGTCAACGCCCCCGCAGCCACACCCAAGCAGACGTACGAACCACAGCTCTGTTAGTCGGGTACTAACTTTGGGTGCCTGTCCAGTGCCTTCTTAAATACAGCCAGGGTTCTATTGGCAATCCCCCTTCATGTATGCTGGGAGGCAGTTGAATAGTCTTGGGCCATGGACACTTATTGATTATCTTTATAAGTCGCATATATTAATCTGTAGATAAAGCCAGAGCTGTTATCTCCCATATTCATATTTCCAGTGATGGCTAGAGTAATGGTACACGAGTATAACTAACTGATTTCACAACAGCCAAAACAAATCTAGCTAGTTGTGTGCATTCTGTATCTGAGGACAGTTTGTGTACGATACTATAAATTTTGGTTACTGTTTGCAAACTGCAATTAGTTCTTGCTCGGTGTGTAACTTCACGTAGGTTCCGTTGCTAATTCTTTTTGGCTTTAGTTTCTTTCCTGATTTAAAAGTACTGGGTGGAAGGAAGAGGGACAAGGGTGTCGTATTAAACCAGTGCTATTTTACTTGCTAAATTAACTTTTCCAGATTTCGGTGGAAGCTCCATAATTAAGCAAATTAAACCATGGAGTCAAGCCAACCCTCTATTTACCAAGAGCCTCTCGCCTCTGCAAGGTGTCAGACGCCTCAAACTGTGGCTGCCTACCAGTCTGACCCATACATGACTTGCCACAAGAACCAGGCCTCTGTACACGAGGCATCACAGCCCACAGTTTTGTATGGAGGAGTCCAACCATCGGTAGAGAACAATATGCGGCAATCTTTGCCACATACGGTCCAACCATATATGCAGTACCAGTCTACGCAAGCATCTGTGCAGTATACTACTCTACCAACTGTTAAATACACTACGACCCAAGCATCTATGCCGTATAATGCTCACCCTGCTGTGCCATACACGGCACAGCCATTTGCACAGTATCAAGCCTCCCAAGAATATGTACAGTATACTCAACCATCTGTGCAGCTCAATATACTACCAACTGTCGTGTATCAGAGCCAGCCTCAGGTGTGTGTATGCTGTGCCACCACCGCAGACTCTGCTAGTAACCAACCATCAACCACCTCTCAAGGTAAGGTACACTGTTTTAGTTTCCGGTAATGGAAGCTTTGGTGCCTCTCAAACTAATGGTTTGCACAAGCACTAGAAATGTTAGTATCATAGCGTAGGAAGTTCTTAGCTTCCCAAACGATTTCTTTTAGCTAATTTAAATCACCATAAGACTTTTGATCTCCAAGTTTAGAAACCATTTGTGCAACGACACTGGGTAGCTGGGAGAATTTTTTTACACCAGTGATGTTGCATTCCTAGAGTGGGTTATTTCCTTTTCGGAACTGTAACTGGGAAGGATGATCCCAATAATGAAACGGTAACCTTGGTAAAACTTTCTAGTAACTTTAACCTAAATTTTGATTTAGGTAATCAAATTTATTACGCAAAAATCCCAAATTTTTATTTTCTTGCATTCCAAAGGGTAATATGAAAGAATTCACAATTAAATCCTTTTGAACTAGAGGAAGCGCGAAACTCATAAGGGTCGTATAACCCTAGGTAATGAGGACATTCCGGTTAATGCCTTCCCGGAAGTAAAGGTCGCCTCGGCAGCCTGAAGGCACCTTGAGATAAAATTTTTAGTGCTAAAATTTGTCTTACTTCACAGGTGTGTGGGGATAAACCCAGGACGGTGTGGTGGTCAAGCGAAAGAGACATCATCACCACCCCATTGTCATGGCTTTTAATGTTCCGTTGAAGTACCCCCCCCCCCCCCACACACTAATCCTGCCAAGACTTTTTTTTTATCATTTGTCAAAGTATTTTAACTAATAAAAAAAATTGCTGAATAAAATTTTTAATAGGGGCTTTCACGCCAGTTCTATAGATATTCCATTTTTAAATAAAAAGCAATAGTTTTCTGTTTTTATTTTAACACCAATTTCATTCGTTCTGAATAGTGTGCATACTACTGGGTTTACTGCTTGTTATTGCGCCCTTCATGGAGGGAAGGAGCAGGGAAAGGTGCATTGATGGTAATGGCTCTTGATTCAAGGAATAAAGAACTTATCGGGGTCCCTACAAAAGCAAGATTTTAACAGGCGGTGCAACACCCCCTCCCCCTGAAAAGCAGGGGTGTCATGAGTATAAGACAGTGTCAGGGTCCCCCCAAAACTTTCAGCTGCCTCCCAGCATACATAAGGGAGATTAACAATAGAACCCTAGAGTCAAATTTAGATTTAGAATGGAATTTGGAAAGTACGGTTTTCAAAAAAATTATCGATGCGTTTTAACAATCCTTCAGAATACCTGGAGTTTACCTGGAGAGAGTTCCGGGGGGCCACGCCCCCGCGGCCCGGTCTGTGACCAGGCCTCCTGGTGGATCAGAGCCTGATCAAAAAGGCTGTTGCTGCTGGCTGCACGCAAACCCAACGTACGAGCCACAGCCCGGCTGATCAGGAACTGACTTTAGGTGCTTGTCCAGTGCCAGCTTGAAGACTACCCGTGGTCTGTTGGTAATCCCCCTTATGTGTGCTGGGAGGCAGTTGAACAGTCTCTCGGGCCCCTGACACTTATTGTATGGTCTCTTAACGTGCTAGTGACACCCCTGCTTTTCATTGGGGGGGATGGTGCATCGTCTGCCAAGTCTTTTGCTTTCGTAGTGAGTGATTTTCGTGTGCAAGTTCGGTACTAGTCCCTCTAGGATTTTCCAGGTGTATATAATCAGTATCTCTCCCTCCTGCGTTCCAGGGAATACAGGTTTAGGAACCTCAAGCGCTCCCAATAATTGAGGTGTTTTATCTCCGTTATGCGCGCCGTGAAGGTTCTCTATACATTTTCTAGGTCGGCAATTTCACCTGCCTTGAAAGGTGCTGTTAGTGTGCAGCAATATTCCAGCCTAGATAGAACAAGTGACCTGAAGAGTGTCATCATGGGCTTGGCCTCCTAGTTTTGAAGGTTCTCATTATCCATCCTGTCATTTTTCTAGCAGATGCGATTGATACAATGTTATGGTCCTTGAAGGTGAGATCCTCCGACATGATCACTCCCAGGTCTTTGACGTTGGTGTTTCGCTCTATTTTTGTGGCCAGAATTTGTTTTGTACTCTGATGAGATTAATTTCCTCATGTTTACCATATCTGAGTAATAGAAATTTCTCATCGTTGAACTTCATATTGTTTTCTGCAGCCCACTGAAAGATTTGGTTGATGTCCGCCTGGAGCCTTGCAGTGTCTGCAATGGAAGACACTGTCATGCAGATTCGGGTGTCATCTGCAAAGGAACACACGGTGCTGTGGCTGACATCCTTGTCTATGTCGGATATGAGGATGAGAACAAGATGGGAGCGATAGGGCAATAGAGGCTAAGATCTTGGGTAGCTTAAAAACAAGCAAATATATGAGCGAAGGGCTGGGTTTGATTATAACTGAGGTTTTGAAGAGTTTTTTTTTTCTTTCCAAGTGGGTGGGAGGGAATGGTTGGTTTAGAGAAGGATCTGCCTATTCACGCCAGTGTTTCTCCATTTTTATGTTAAAACCTTAGGTGGCTGGACAGCCACCTGAGAAAAATACCTGCCCAAAATGGGCTGTAGTTTGTACGTTGGTTTTGCGTGCGCCCGGCGTAACAGCCTGGTTGATCAGGCCCTAATACACCGTGAAGCCTGGCACTGCCCGGGCCGGGGGGGGCTTTTACCCCCCGGAACACCCCCCGGGTGAAACCTGTTTACCATCTTACGGGTTATAAACTTCTCTTTATACATATATGTTTTAATTATTGGGGCGGCACTTAAATGTGAGGGGGTGCTACTTGGCTCTGAATTGGGGGGAAACACTTCTTGACTTGTTGACCCGGCTTTTGAGATCCAATCTCTGTTTTTACAAAGATATATTTCAGTCAGTGATGCTGGGTGAAGCTGGTGAAGCCCTCAGTACTCTTAACTGTAAAAAAAAATGGTATTAAAAAGTCTCTATTTAAAAGCAGCTCCTTGGAAGGTACACTGTAGAAAACCCCTTCCTCCAATGGGGGGCCTTGATGATGATTTGATCGAGGGAATTTAAAATTTCCTTGTTGGAAATTATTGCCTCCCCGACGCGAAGACAAGGGTTTTATCTTCCCATGAATGTAAATTGGGGAACAAATTTGCCGTCAAAATATATTTACAGAATTTTAGTTTATAGAGGGTTTTTTAGACGCTGCTGGAAAATGGCGGGGAAAAAGGCCGGACAGGCTCTATCAGAACCCAACCAGCCGGGGGGGTTAAACTCATTTGCATGTGACTATAGTAACAGCCTGGTTAATCAGACCCTTATCCACCAGAGGGGGGGGGGGGGGGGGGAAAGAGGCCTGGTATCAGACCGGCCGCAGGGGCGTTTGCACCCCGAAACCCTTTCCAGGTATAAGACTGAAGGAATGGAGGGGCCGGTAACTGGAAGCATAGTTGTGTGAAACGCTATAATTTATGAACCTCTACAGGGGGCTCCTTGGCGTGGTGAAGAGGCTCTTGGTCTGAGGCATTAGACCTTTCGTCCTTCTTCCTCAGACCGAAACCTAATTACCACCAACCCCCAATCTCCACTCCCCTATCCTCTCCCCATCCCCACACATCCTCCCCTTTTTGCCTTTCCTCCTCCTCCTCCCCACTCCCTTCCCTTTTGCCACTTCCTCTTTTGTCCCTTTGGGATTTCTCCCCACAGGCACGCTAGTTTCCTAGGTAGAGGAAAGGACACCGGGTCGATCCCATTCCGTTGGGTTTCTTGGCGGTGGCGTAGTTTGCCGTGGAAATCTGGATTGCCTAGGATGTCCCCGACCCTCTCCGGTATCCCGGAGTAGCTTGGGTGTCTTTTGGGCGACGGGTGTTCTCGGTAAGCCACCTTTCGATTCCGGGGTGTTGGGCTGAAGGAGGTTGCTTTGTGGCGATAACCGGCCCGCCCTCTCTTTATGTCCACCGAGGTACTCGGCAGATTGAGGTTGCTATCCCAGATGGCTGGTTTACCTGGCATGAAGGGTAGGGTAATGGCACGGGTTCCATGCTGTCTTCTGCGCTACTAGCGTGTCGAGTCCACTTATGGGCGCGGAGGGAGATTTCTGGCCCTTTCATTCCTCCTAGGAACATCCCTCCCCGGTCCCCCCTTTTTTTTCTGTTTTTTATTTTTATTTTCTCCTTTCTTTTTTTTCTTACAAACAAAAAGAAAGAAGTACCTAACCATGGCAGGCAAGCCCTAGTCCCATGAACCTGGTACCCACCCCCGGGCCCCTTCTTGATACCGCACCCGTGGGGGCGTTCTGACCCCGCCCTCGCTTTGGACCACATCCTTCAGATCATTCCTCATGCCTCTGTACCTATTGCCGTGCTGTTTCCTCACCTCTTCCAGGTACTGAGGCCTCGACTGACTCCTTCGATTTCAGACCTCTCGCTCTCCTCTCATATGACATGCTTCTTTCGGCCTCTCCCCTACGGTGGCGGCAAATTTCAATCGCCGACCCGTTCCAACGTCGGACCAACTCTGGTCCCACGCCTAAACGTCATGCGACAATTAACCTGCTGATGATACTTCACCACCTTCACCTTCTCGTTCTTCCTCAGAAAAGAACGACACGTCCTCCTACCTTTCCACGCTCCAGTTTCAGACTGAACAGTGGACTAAATTCTCCACTTTACGACCAACTTCCTCTACGCCTATCTTTCGACCATAGTATTGGCAAGGCCACTCCTACGCCATGTTTGGTAAAGATATTTCTTTCATGCTCTTAAGACGGTATCGCGCATCATACCGTACAGAATGCTACCCCGGCTCGTGAGTCTCTCGTCTTTCCATATAGATACTGTTTCCTGTCACCCTTGAAAAAACATCATTCCCTCAATTCTTGTAAGTGGACCGTTATTCTGCCCCATACCATAGTTCACAACAATAGTTCCAGACATGTGGCAACCGACATTCTAGAAACATCTGGAATCCAAGGAACTCCCAAACCTCAAGGTAGACACTTACGTTCTTTCCTGCCCGTGGGCGGTAGACGATACCCTAGCAATGTGGCTCGTTTAACTTTTGACAGCCGAGAACTCCCATCCACAGTTTATATACAGGACATCGGTTACAAGATTCGAAAGGAGATCCCTACACCACAACAGTGTAGAAAATGCTGGCGATTTGGCCATCCAGCGAAATATTGGCAGATATATCGCCGAATGCCCAGTCTGTGGTCGATGACCATTCTATACGTCTGCAATCGATCTCCCTCTGCCTTAACTGTCATTAGGCTCACCCCTTCGTACTCTCGCCGTTGTCAGGTCTATTTAAAACGAGCGGTAAATCCGTACCTCAAAAGAGACAGAAGGTCTCCCTTATGCCATGGCAGTTTCACATCTCCGCCTCCAAGGGAGACTCCACTTGTTTCTTATTCCCAGTGTTTCAAACGTCCCCCCACTTCTGGTATCCCATCTTCTCCAACCCTCCTCTGTGGTTACCTCTCCCTAATCACCCTGTAACTAATCCTTTTGCTGTCCTCGGCTCAGACGTCCCAACTTCCACACGCCTCATCTAATCTGTCGCTATCTTTCGAGTTCTCTCTACAAGCCCTCAGTATCGAGGAGGACCTCGTACACACTCTTCCCAATCGGTCCCCTCTACTTCTCAACAAGTCAAAAAAGGTGGTCCCGGAACACCTCCTACCCATCTTCAACCTCCTCATTTTACCCTCCCTGTCTCTGGTCCTAGTTTCTTTCCCCTCTCACTGGCACAG